CAGGGGGGCATGCCCCCCCCCCTTTTTTTGACCCATAATTTGATATTTTGCAGTTAAGTTTGAAATTTTCTTGAAAATAATTGATTTGCAACAGTTTTAGTAGCTATAGTATGTGTGATCTGCAGCAAACAATACACAGTTTGACCCTCAAAACCAGTGCATCTGTGTGTGGGAGTTCGTCTCCGAACAGTTTCTGAGTGTTTGTAGGATTGTATTGTAGGAAAAAACCCTGATATGAGGTGGGTTTTTATTGAAGATAAAAAGCCATTAATTATAATTGTCAAATGATGTCAGAAAAAGGTAGGTCATAATATCGTTTTTAGGCTTGTCTCAAATTGCAGAAAAATATACGCTATGACTTGGGATTTTAATGAAGATCAAAAGCCAATCTAATTGTCAAAAGTAGTGGCTGTTGTTGTTATTGCTTTTCACGAGGTACATGTCCATTTAAAACGCTCCAAGCGTCTTTTGCTCTGGCTGATAATTTATTATTGCTTTGTGTATAGTCTATATAAAGAACCTACTTTAAAATTCTTCACCGTCTTATCCCTAAAGCATAATTAATTCAGAGACAAAAAAAAATTTTTGAGCAAAAAGGACAACTCTTGTTAGGAAAAAAATGATTTTAAAAATAATTAATTAATAAATATAAGAAAAAGAGTTGCAAATTTTTTCCATCATTTAGAAAATCGCAAACATCCGGTGTACTTTTCAAACATTTAAAACATTTTTCCCAGAATCCACCTGATCCCAGGCTATTCCTTTTTAAGCTCACAAGCGGATTAAAATCCCTGGTGGCAGAAACAGGATGCTCCATGCAAAAAATTTTAATATTTGTGAGGCAGCGTGGTGGAATCAGGCTCTCATCAATTTTGGGGCATGTAGGGGTATCATCTTAAAGCATGTTCAGTTGTCTTTATTTGGATGAAAAAAATATCCCTTTATCTTGAGTACAAGTCGAGATATTTGCAAATGATGGAGGTGGGGGTCACCTGTTTCCAGCGGTAAAATTAAGGAGAAAATGGCCGTCAGAGATTATTTATTTCCTTAGCTTTAGAGTCCGTTAAAACTGAAAATTAACATTTTTTGTGCCTTTAATAGCCGTTTTTCAGAAAAATCTACACAGAAATGAGTTCTTTAATGGGCATTTTGACGAGAGCCTGATTCCACTACGCTGCCTCACATTTTTTGTCATGTCGTGTGCTAGACGCAATTGTGAAAACAGCTTCCGTTAATATGGGAGCCAAGCTGTGAGGATGAACTCAAAGTTCAGTCCAGAGATCTCATTCGAAATTCAAATACTCCCCTGTGAAAATGCATTTCTCAACTGAATGAATAATTGAATATTCAATATCCTCTTTCTGAAACGACAGACAGACAAACAAATCACACGACTGTCCCGATTCAATGCGTGTTGAAAACCCTTTGGATGGCATTGACATAATTTGTTTTTAATGTTTTAAAGGTAACCACATCTCTCAGGTCCAGCTTTGAGAGCAATACCTTATAGTGGGTCATTCATCATGCACCTATTAACCGAAGTACTTCTTTCATTTGAAACACACATCGCAGCTTATGTTAACCGATACTGCTCAAGTTGTATCATAGGGCAAATAAAATGTAGTGGTCCCTTTTCAAAATCAAAACTTTGGGTGTTTGAAGTGAGCTACAAATACAATGTAATGGTCCCTTTTCAAAATCAAAGCTTTGGATGTTGAAGTGAGCTAAAAATAAAATATATTGATGCAGTGTTCCCTTTCCAAAATTCAAAGCCTTCGGTTTTGAAGTTTTGAAGTGAGCTATTAATTAACATTTTACATTAAAAGGTCAAAGTCAGCTGCTTTGAATTACAGTTTTGATATATTTGTACCAAAAGTCTGTGTCAAAAGTACAGATGAAGCTGCTGCGTGCCTCAGTAATCAGTGGGTTCTTTTTCAATCTTCAAAAAGTTGAGGGGGTGGGGGGGGATCTTGCTAATAGCTCCCTACTCAGACTGTTTCTCACCATAGCGCCCCTCCC